ATGATCCTTAAAAATAAACACCACGAAAACAAAATAGTACTATTAAATTATGGATGAAACCATTGCATGCAAAGACTTGGGTTTAAGGTCCATGGTTTAATTTTTTGTTTGTTTGTTGTTGTTGTAACCAGACAGGAAGATTAGCAAGTGTTAGAGAGGCAGTGAAGACAGACTAGTACCAAACTGAGAGTTTCTCCCTGGTAAACTTAAGGTGGAAAGAATTGACAGTAAAACTATGTCCACACTTATGTGACTCTTAATGCCCTGTCTTTGACCATCAATGTAAAAGTCCATATTTTGAAATGTGATGAGCATAGAACAGACAGGGAGAGTGGATTTGAGATCTATTTACAAGCACCTAAATTTGTTTCATTAAACAAATAAGTCAATTTTCAATCGATGCACCTCCTTCATTTTTCTTATTCACCCTCAAGAGTATTTATTATAGTTTTCACATGAAATAGTTACCTTGATTATCACTTATTTTCCAGACTTTCATTAAATCAACAAAATGTTTTGAGCCCATACCAGGAGCTCAGCATTGGGACTGTAGCCTCGGGGAAGACATATGTGCTCTCACTATCATCTTTCTTTCTCCCCTTAGCTCTCTTCTCCTTTTTAAAACTACAGCGAATCAAAGACTCAGCTTATTTATTTCAAAAAGATGAAAAGATTAAAGATTAGTGCAGCTTAACGTCTATTTGAATCCGGAGATTTTCAAAACGTCCCACTCCTCCCAAACTCCACACGTTAACTGGGAAGATTGCCCTGGCACTTTCCCTGCAGGCCACTAGGCGGCGCGCACATTTTTCGATTCCAAAAGAAAGTGCGTATGTGGGTACTTCTCTGAAGTTTGGAATTGGTGTCTCCTTTTCCCACTTTCTATTCAACTTGGGGCAGTTGTGGAGCCCTCAGGTTCTCGGGCTCCACCAAGTCATCCTCGCCCCATGCAGTGACTCCTTGTCTGCCGTTATGAAGAATTCTTTTGCTCCCAAACCACAACAGTTTTGCTTCTGACTGTTGTCAGCATTTGCCCTTTTAACATTTTAGAAGAAATGGGATCCAAGTTTGATGTTGAAAAGAAAGCACTGATTTATTTAGTGAGAAGATCTCTTCTCCCAATTACCGTTTTTCCTAGCTGTGGGGAAAATGCTCCTCTAAGGATTTAAAGCAGCTCTCTTGAGCTAAAGATCGTCCTGAGGAATAACAGAGCTCCTTCTAAGCGATCTTTCGGAGCTGACATCGGCGCCCTTGTTCAGCAGCATGCTGTATTTTTGAGGTCCAGCCTTTTTCTCTGAGTTTTACATTCTGAATTGACAAGCCCTTGATTTCAAACACTGCAGAATACATTCCCAGACTAACTGTCCCTATGAGCCATGATCCGAGACATACATCCAGGAGTTCCCTATGTTCTTTGCCTGGTAGGTGGTCCTAGAACCTTAAACCTCACGCTTTATCTGATCCCAAAGTCCCCCTTCCTTCTAAATATCCATTCTGAGCATTTCTTGGGAGTCAGCAAAGCCATTAATGAAATAAGCTGTAAATATGCCCTATTGCACATGGATATGGAATTACCTTTTGGATGAGCTCCTCTGCAGTTGACCTGGGGAACGCTGGGAACATGTTTGGAGCAAAAAGAGTGAAGACTGGGCCTTGCCCACTGCTTTGTGTGAATCTGTCAGCCTATTCTTTAAGGAGATGAACAAATTTCTCTCTTTCTTTCTTTCTTTCTTTCTTTCTTTCTTTCTTTCTTTCTTCTTTTTTTTTTTTTTTTTTAAGAGAGGTGTCAGAAGCCTTCTGAGGCTGCAGCTTTATGCAAATACACTACTCCAGAAGCCGGCTTTAGGGGAGAGTTATTTATATCCGATAGGCATTACACATGCAAAAGGTGAAACTGTGAATCTCTAAATTTCCAGGAGTGGATGTTCTCATGATGAGCACATCCTTGCAGTTAGCTATTTTGGTGGCACACAATTCCCATACCTAACTGTCAGATTGTTCCAGACAGGAGACTACATAATCATTCAGTAATTTTAGAATGACCCTGTATGTTTCTCTTCCAGTGGGACTTCATGACCTGAACTTTTCCGAGGATCAGATTTACCACCATCTTGGACTGTCCGGTACTAAGTACATTTCATTTCTGTTTCCCCTAAACAGGTACAGTCCTCAGTTATTAAAAGGTAATCATGTGGCACATTTATTGCCTTTTTGCTTTCATTTTGACTCCTGGAATTAGCAAAGAAAATGGTCATTTCTCTAGGAATTATTGCTCCGCTCCATTGCTGGCTCACCCTACCCAGAAGTACAGACCATTTTCCACGTCGAAGTATACAATAATCACTTCAGGAAATTGCTTTCCCTATTGGAAACTGAGAGCTCACATCGGAATGTTTCCACAGCACAGCTGATGATAATTACGACTCACTGAAATTTCAGTTTTCTTTGATTGTGACATAAAAACTGGGACATAAATTAAAACCCAATTATCCTTTAAGGGTAATTGGGGTTATAAAACCAAGAGACTGTGAGTCAGTGTGTCGATATCGCAGGAGCACAGTGTCTGATGGAACAATATGTGTTCTGTATCCCAAACAGCCTTTCACGCGAAATGATTGGGGATAAGGTGATCTGTGTACAATGCATACGCTGAGAGAATACGTCAGACTGGGTTACAGCCTTGGAGAAATGCAGTGAGCCTCTAGGACATCTTGGAAAGATTAAAATATGCTAAAACTGCAGTCAGAACGCCCTGGCCTTCACCTGTGAAGGTGTCCGGTGATGGAGCAAGGCACTCAGCATCGAGACTCCAGCCAGTACCTGACTGCGCACTTGGAAAATGCAGCTCTTTCTACCTGGGGAATAGGTACAGCTCTTTGGCTCAATACAATGTACATCATCAGAGTCCACGAAAGGGTGGGCTTTGTTTTTCACAAAGGGCATGATCCACAAAGGCTGCAGAAAATATTTTTGGTAAATCATGTCATAAATTAAGTGCACAAAGGGGAGCTCATTAAAGGAAGATCTGAGTTATTCTTTAAGGACAGGAATTGCCCACACACTCGTGGCTGCCAACCAGGCTACCTCCTGCTGGTGTGTATTTGTGTACACTCTTCAGGTCAAATTGTATCCACTGAAACTTCCCAACGTTGCACCCCAAGCCCTCTCGAGACACATTTCTCATTCTGGCTTTTCAAGAGTTTCATTTCCCTGTATTTCTAGAGCATTTGTTACTCCCTCTCGGTGTGTACTGTTTGTATTTTTGAAAGGGCACATACCCACCACAGGACAGTGACATTTTCCTCTCTGGCTCTGCCACTCATCTGAAAGCCCTGGTAGGGCCTTGACTGTGATGCATGCAGTTGGGCACATAGTAGCCACTCACTAAATGATGCTGAATATAATGCACTATCCAAACAGCAGAATTCCAGATTTCCAATTTTTCTTTCTGGAAGGTAAACATTGCCACGAGTTATTAACTACACAGAAGACTTGACCAAACCCAACCCCCTTGCAAAACCAACCAGGTTTTCCTTTGAGGGCACTCACCTCTGCAAACAAGTTTCTGGCCCCAGGACGACATAAAGGTCCAGACTAGGGTTTGGAGCAGACCTCTGTTTTTAGTTGTTGCGTCAGGCTCATCAAGTCCCCTGAAAATCACGAGAGAGAAACACAAGGTCCAGCTTATTTCCACCAACCCTGGGAAACCATGCCTGGGTAGACATCTAGGGAAAGTGTTATGTCTGATCTGGGCTTTTGCAACCTTATTTCATAATCTACTTTCTTATCTACTATCTCGCAAAACCAAAGAGCAATTGGTACAAACTGTATTGACAAAAGATCAGAACTTGATTCTCAATGGCAAAGGCAAGTATACATTATAAATAGCAAAACAGCTGGCTTGGACCATGTTGCCGGCCACTCATCCAGTTGAGGGATTTGAATGACATCATAACCCTTGAGAGGGTATTGCTAGCCAGCTGGTGTTATTTAGAATACACAAACATTGGAGAAAGAAAACACACACACACACACACACACACACACACACACACACACACAGGTTCAAGTTATGTAGAAAAACATGAACAATGGAAAAATAGTCCTGCCCCTCAGGTGCCCTTCCCCTGGTGGGTGATAGGAAGCCTAGTAGAGAAAGGAAGAAAAAGATTTTATTTTTTCAGTTGGCTTTACAGCTCAGCAAAGTCTTTGCCCTGTTGCGGGCAAAAAGCATGAGACAGTGTCCTAAAGGGAGCCAATTGCAATGCTGCCTGCCCCTTTTCTAGGTTCTAGGAAATGAGATCATTCCCCTTGCTTGGCAACTAGGACAAGGGGTCACCCCAGTGCTATCTCCCAACCTAGTTTACCCTGGTCACTTCAGGGTTAATATTGTAGCGTTTGCTCGAGTTGATTTTTTTCTTCATTTCTTTTTTTTTTTTTAATTTTGCATTTGCTCTAGAATATAAAAATGCTTGCCCATCCTCCATTGTATGTTCCTTTAATACCGGTAAGGTGTATTAGCAGATGTGTGTGTCTCCCTGCCCAGTAGAAAGTTAATCAGAGAACAGATCCTTATTTTCTATGGCAGCATCAGTATTTTAATGTCTGCTAACCCTGTCACTAACACACATTCTTTTAAGGGAAAAAAATGCTTCTGTGCTCTAGTTTTAAAATGCAAAGGTATGATGTTATTTGTCACCATGCCCAAAAAAGTCCTTACTCGATAACTTTGCCAGAAGAGGGAGAGAGAGAGAAGGCAAATGTTCCCCCAGCTGTTTCCTGTCTACAGTGTCTGTGTTTTGTAGATAAATGTGAGGATTTTCTCTAAATCCCTCTTCTGTTTGCTAAATCTCACTGTCACTGCTAAATTCAGAGCAGATAGAGCCTGCGCAATGGAATAAAGTCCTCAAAATTGAAATGTGACATTGCTCTCAACATCTCCCATCTCTCTGGATTTCTTTTTGCCTCATTATTCCTGCTAACCAATTCATTTCCAGACTTTGCACTTCAGAAGCAATGGGAAAAATCAGCAGTCTTCCAACCCAATTATTTAAGTGCTGCTTTTGTGATTTCTTGAAGGTAAATATTTCTTACTCTTTGAAGTCATTGGGGAATTTTCTTTAAATTGTGTACTGTTTGCTTCTGCCTAGAAATGTTATTCACTTTAGAATTTTCATTGTTTCGGAACTGGGAGTTATTTATAAATTGCTGAATATGCATTTCTGTGGGATCTGAAAAAATAGCTCCGGGAGATGGATGCCTTTGCACAGATATCTGTATGAGTAGAAACTATTGCAAGGTACTTATGCTAAATCCTCCACTTCTGCAGGGCTTCACTGGTGTCATTATAGAAGATTCCTTTAAATCCTGTCTATGGTTAAGGGCTAGAGAGCATGGATATGAACTTTTGGATTTTTTTTTGCAGGTGCAGATGTTTTATTTTTAAGACCATGTTCGCGCGCGTGTGTGTGTGTGTGTGTGAGTGTGTAACTTGTCAGGACTGGACTTTTTATTACATAGCATGCCACATACGAAGAATTACCTTTCAGATGATATTAAAGCTTTTAAATATGATCTTTGGAGCTAAGGTCCCAGAACTCTCTGCACTTATGCCCAGAGAGTCAAAGTTAGAGTGAAGTTTAATTTACTCTTCTGAAAAAGAACTCCTTGACAATTCTTGCTGACCTTGCATATTTGTATAATTTAAACAAATGCATACTGTATATACGGAAAGCGGAAACTTTCTAGCAACTGCATGTCCAAGTTTTCTCTTTTGAAGAGGACTTTCATGGGTGAAGTTTGGACTTGGGGTTTCGTATTGTAAAACTCTGATTTTGTACTCGGTGTTGTAAAGTCTCTTTAGGTAAATTTGGCTGCTGTTGTTAATGCCAACTTCTTGTTTCCAATCACTGGCCCTAGTTCAAGTTTCCATTCTCAGCAAAATTATATCCTTCAAGACTTGTGTTTTTCCAATTTGCAAGCACTTTTAAGCCGCTGTCACTGGCTTCTTGATGCAATTGCCTAAGAGCTCAATTCATAAAACATCCTGCACTTAGTACAGCATTCATTCGCTGCTTTCAAATACTCCACCACTAGGACTTTTCTTAGTCAAGTAAGTGGCTTTGGAGTTAAGGATACGGGTTTCTCAGGCACCTGATTCTGCTACCCTCAGGATGCAAAGCCACATGATGGCTACTTTGCTTTTAAAAGAAATGAAGTCTTTATATATGTATACATGTATGTGTGTGTGTACGTATATGTGTATATACATATGTGTGTGTATACACACACACACACATACACACACATGGTCTTACAGCTAGGGTTTTTGTCTCCCTTCTTAGATGATCATAAAAGAGGTTGTTGAGTGTTATCTCTGCATTAATTACAAGTTTGGAAAACTGTCTCCAGATGAACTTTTCAGAAGTAAAACTCGGAATAAGTTATTACTTTCCCTCCATTCCTGGAGCAATAAGTGGTTTGAGAGAGCCGTGTGGTCCTTCAAATGTAATTCAATAAGTAAAGATGTCCTGCCTAGAGGCAGCATTCACAAGTTGATTGTACTGAGTCTCAAGATACTTGCAAGTGTTTGAGCCAGAGGGAAGAGGGTAAAGCAGAAGACTGGAGCTTGGGTCACTGTTCAGGGTGGCTACAATAGGCATACAATGGAAATTGGTGCCTTGATTGGGGGGAAAAGATTGACTCAAATACCAGCTGTGCAATTTGTTCATTGTTTGAATGGACAAAAGGCAGTTTACCCAGGCTAATAGCATACCTGCCTGGGTGTCCAAATGTAACTAGATGCTTTCACAAACCCCACCCACAAAGCAGCACATGTTTTTAAGTCCTGTTTTCTATTCACATCAGCCTCATAATACCCACCCTGACCTGCTGTAAAAGATCTGGAACAAACAAAAATGGTTACACCTACAGTGAGTATTTTCTTATGACTATTGCCCTGAAATTTTGCTGGGCATTTTCATTGTAGCCCAGACATCTGGAATCAGTTGATATTCCATTTATTTAAGATAAAAAGAAAGATCTTTTAAATTTTGAACTTGTGAATGATTTTTGAGAAACAGTGTTCTGATTTTTTTTCCCTTTTTTCTCTCCTCTCTCTGGTTCGTCTTTCCTTTCTCTATATAGCTTTCCTTTCTCTGTTTCTTTTGTGTTTGGCAAAATAAAAGACCAAGAAAAGTATGAACATATGGGGCCACTTGTTTCAAACTTTTAACTCCTAAGCGAGTTTGTTATTGTTTTCTTTTAGGGGAACATGATGTGATAAAATTCTCTGGTTCTCTGTGGGTGTACTGGATTATTCCCTGAACTAAGGGAAAATGCAGTAGAGGTTCTATCTTGTCCTAGAGCTAGAAGTGCTGATATTTATCTAACAATATAACTCAGCAAAAAAGAAAAAGAAAAAGAAAAATCTATAAAAAAATAAATCTTACATTCTTAAATACTAGTGATCTATATATATTGTTGGGCTTATATGTGTTATGCCAGAAATAACTATTTAAAATACAGTTTTGAAAACTCCTGAAGTTCTCAATTCACTAAGGATACCTTTTTCCCTGGATTTCACGAAAACTGAAGAACTCCAAGGCATCTACAGTTGCAGGTGCTTGGCCCTTGACATTACTATAAACTCCACAAAGAAGGGAGAGATGAAGAAGTAAGACAGGTAGACTAGCATGCATTCTAGAACTGGCCCATTGCCAGAGTGTGGGGGTATGTTCTGTAAGCTCAGTTTGGAGTTTGCTCTTTTGAAAAAGGCAATGAAGTTCAATTGGGTTGGAATTGTTGAGATTTCCACTGGAAATATCGAAGGGGAAAACCCCCACCCATTATTTTATAACTAAGACAAATGCAGACTGGCTGATGACCTATGTCCTGCAGTCTGGTGGCTTTGGCTATGTGATGGTGGAGGGTTTCCAGACAGAGATCCTACTGAGAAAATGGAAGAAATGTTCGGTTGAACGTTTACCTCCTCTTCTATTTTATGGTCATTATTTATGATGATCTGCAAACAGAGGGTACTTTTCATCTTAAACTGTTTTACAGGCATTAACTAAATATTTATGTTGTGTTAACAAGAGTCAGGGGTTTAAAGTTTTTTCCCAATTGCTGAGCTGAAGGTCTGGCCACAAAAATGGAAATCTTAGAATGATGGAGCAAACTCTGCCACTGATGTAGAGAGCCATTAAGTTGAGAGTTCATGGAAGGCAAGGAGGACAAATGACAGAGTCTGTTTCTACAAAAGGAATGGGATTGAATGGACCAGCCAGTACTGTGAGGTTCAGAAAAGCCTCTTTGCATAATGAATCACTTCCAGCGTAACTCCATGGCCCTTTTGACAGGGTCCCTCACTTACGTACTGTCTGTGACTCTTCCGAGGCCACTGAAAGTAAATGCATCTAAGAGAGGTGAAGCTACTTGCCTTGGGAGACTTCCTGGAAGAAACCACATGTTTGTGTCACAAGTAACAATATGGGAAAGTGAGTGATCGCTATGAGAGTGGATGGAGCCTTGAGCCACAGAAATCCTGCTTTGGGCACGGCTGCCATTTGGCTTCTATTATTGGCTAAGTAAGCCAACCAGGGTCCCTTGGTATAAAATGGATACAGTGATACATAAGTCTCTCTAAGACATGAAGTCACAATTCCTGTGACCAAAAAAAAAAAGTCTTTTGCAGGTTTTGAGCTTTATGCCCTGTTCATGGAAGGCAATCTCTACACATATGTTGATTTGATAATGCACTTGACACAGAGGGTGTTAGAATACAGAAGGTGAAGGATCTACTTAGCATGAGCCAATTTCATTCATAAATCCTCATATTTTTCCTGTTTCTGTTTATATTTTCACTTCCACTTGTGGTTGTGTTAACTGCTGATATTCCCAGGTAAGAGTTTCTGTCTCTTTGTGCTTCTCTCTGTCTCTGTTTCTCTCTTTCTCTCGTTAAGTGAAAAATTAAAAAATATATCCTGTATTTTTGTTTTTTTCACAAGTATTTTCACAAGTCCTTTTTTATCTACAGTTAATTCTTTTTAACCAGTAGCTGGGAATGATGTTCTAGTTAACTTAATATTCTGGTCCATAATGAATGCATATGCCATCTGTGGATGGCCAATCTTTAGAGAATTTAAATTAATAAAATGTAGTTGGCCCCAAATCTGGACTGAGCATAGTTTAACCTCTGATAAATCAGAAGTTTTACCAGGATCTCTGAGTGGTGTGGGGTTCTATTACAATAATAGAATTTTTCATTTACAGAGTAAATGTTTCTAGATCTTTTATCTCATTGAATTGTAATAGGTTCAGGAAAGTCCACGGTGGCAAGGGGATTAAACACAGGTTGTTTGATGCCAAGACATGATCTGTCCACACCACCCTGCAGTCTGTCATGCACTCTGATGCACTTCTGTGTAGGGTAGTTCTGACTCATGGCAGTAACAGAGTGTGGGGAGGGGGGGTGGGCAATGCACCTTTGCCTCATCTCCCCTGCCCTTGCAATGACCAGGGAGGAAACATGACCATTCTTCTATGTTATTGGCAGGTAAAGATGCACATCATGTCCCCGTCTCATCTCTTCTACCTGGCCCTGTGCTTGCTCACCTTCACCAGTTCTGCCACGGCTGGACCGGAGACGCTCTGTGGGGCTGAGTTGGTGGATGCTCTTCAGTTCGTGTGTGGAGACAGGGGTTTTTATTTCAGTAAGTAGCCCTCCCTCTCTCTGCTCTGTGGATTTACAACTGCAGGGAATGTGTGAATAACTGAATGACTGCCCGTGGCTGGCAGCTGTCCTCAGCCTCTGAGATTCCTCACCTTAAAGTAAGCTTCGTGTTTCAATGGTGCTGTGGCAGGTTTTGCAGATTTAGGATGGAATTTTCCTCCTTAGCAGTTTGTCTTTTACCTACTTCCTGCTGAGCTTTCCTAAAACTATTATGCTCTACTCTCATATTCCTCTCCTCTCAGTGAAAGGATGGGACAAGATGGAGCCTGTAGGATTGTGGAGATTTTTGTCTCAAGATCTGTGGGTGCACATATAAACATATGGAAACATGTGCTGGGTAATTGGGAGTAAAATAGTAAGGTGGACTTAGAAAAAGAATTAAGAGAGCACATCCCAGATGTCTCCATGCAATATGAAATCACCAGGAACAGAAGGTGAACTTCACTCAAAGGCACATTTGCAAATTACACAGGCACTCTCTAAATGCAGACTGAAATGCCATATTAATTTGTCTTCTATGCAAATTGACCTTGATTTTTTTGGTTATTGCCTTCCTTTGATTTAGCTTTTGTCTGGGACTCTCCAGTGATATCTCCATCTGGAAAAGGGTTTCTGACAAGTGTGGGGCTACTTATCCCATAAGTAGGTCTCAGGTGATTAAAATGTTGACAGTCAATAAAAACTAGACAGCCAAGTCAATGTTTCCAAATAATAAACACAAACACAACTCAATGTTGCCTGGGGGAATGGATCACTTAAAAAATCTACCTCAGAAGCACCTATCGAATTGTATATTATAGGACAGTGAAAGATTTAAAACCAGTTGCTCATTCTGTATAATTGTTTGGAATTTTAGAGAGTTCCAGAAAACTGATGTTCAGGTCCTCAGTGAGCATGAATCATTCTTAGAGGTTCATTATCACTCGAGTGTAGACAGCTTACCTCAGTTGCCCACTAAGCTTTGAATAGCTCCTCTGATGACTCACACACTTCAAGTCTCTCTCATCTTCTTCCTGGGGAAGGTGGTGGGTGCCTCTGTGTGTGTGTGTGTGTGTGTGTGTGTGTGTGTGTGTGTGTGTGTGAGAGAGAGAGAGAGAGAGAGAGAGAGAGAAACGAGGAGAAGGATCCTGAATATAGCAGTCTGGGATGNATGAAATATAAAAATAAATGCACTTTTTACTGAATCAGTTTCTCAGCCAAAAAGATCTATTCAAACAAGGGATGACCTGTGGCCACTCCTGAAACTAGGGGAACATCCAGCCTCCACTAACTCACAGTGGAAAGTCTTTCCTCTTCACCATTAATTTTTTTTCTTACTGTGGGGAAGTTGCAGATCCAACAACTAAGTTATTTATGTCAACTAAACTTCTGTTCATAGAGTTGAGATTGCTTGCTTTTGAGAGCTTAGGCCTAGAAGATGCCATGGACAACTTGAAAAACCTATGGTCAGAAAAAAGATTTAAAAACCATGAGAAGAGTGTTTGTTCTGTTTTGATTATCCCAAGATATAAAGGATATTTTACATTCCAGAAAGATGCAAAATAGTCTTGTGGTCAAGGAAAGAAGGGTAGAGACCTTATTTGTTTATGGCACAAGAATTCCTGAGGTTTCATGTTGTGTGTGTGTGTGTGTGTGTGTGAGAGAGAGAGAGAGAGAGAGAGAGAGAGAAACGAGGAGAAGGATCCTGAATATAGCAGTCTGGGATGAGTTGAGGAGATGGGAAAGGAGAGGCTGATGAAGGACTGATGATCTGTACTCATCACAGATTTGGCAAAAAATAGTCTTTAAACCACTACTAACAGAATCAGAAGTGCTTTCTATATTTGAATGGGTAAATTTCCCCTCTCTGTTTCCAGCTAATGCTTTAATAGAGTGAATTCATGTATTTTTTTGTCCACAAAGCAATTCCATCCAGTTCTCTGTTGGAGTGTAGATGAATGAGTTCATTGGGTGGGTACTTTTCAAATAGCAGACCTATTTTACCTTTGAAATATCCAGTGAAAGGCAAATGTGTTACATCAACATCACCTAATGGTGGGTTGTCATTACTCTTTACTCTGCTGCTACTGATCCACATATAAAAAATGAATAAGTAATTCTCATTTATTATGCCTAAGATGATTTTTCCCTTTGATAATCTATTTGTAAAATTTCCTTTGATCCAAGGATAAAGGTGGTTGCCAAACCCACAATTGTCTTCTGTTATGTGCCAGGTTGAATTATTTTGTTCAACATGATGTGCTCTAGGATTTCCATGCACAGTGCATGGAAACTGGATCATTCTGTGCCTGTGATGTTTGCATTAGATGATGAATGGAAATGGAAATAATGATTTGGTCCCACATAATCATATAATACTGATATATGTGCACACAGACAGTTAAGAGTATTGGACAACTAAGATGGAAACCAATTTCAAGCCACTGAGAAGGTTATTTTATTGTCACTACAATGATCAAATTTTAGCGAATGTTTTTAAATTCCATTTTAATAACTTGAAAGGGAAAGGTTATATATAGGAACTCTTAATGTTTAAATAGAAACATCTGGATAGAAAGTGGTTTCATAAATTGTGATTATTGTCAATGGCATTGCCATTGAGACTCTATGTTTCATAAATTCTGCCTTATAGAATTCCATGACTTATATAAATTCTTTGTCTGACATAGACCCTCATGAACAAAAGTATTCTTGTTAACTTTCTAGCCAACTGGACACTCTCTTTTGCCAAAGAGAAGTTAGCTCCTTTAAATTCTTTAATTCCAGACATTGATGGAGCATCTGCTATATGTAAGATACTGTACTAGGTATGAACAAGATGACTAGAAATGAATGAGAGATTAATTTTGCTTTCAAGAAACTCACAGTATGATCAGGGTGTTTCAAAAGTGCATGTAACTATTATCAAATGTCATATAAGAAACATAATCCTAGAAGAATAGATTATAGTCCTTTATGCTTTTCCTGAAGATTTTGTCCCATTTGAAATCACCTAACTAGGATCTATCCTCTTAGTGGGCTTCTTGATGCCAAAGACTATATTTATTTACCACTGAAACCCAGTAGCTAGGTCTATGCCTGGCTGATACAGTAAAGGCTCGTATTTGATCATTGAACTGACAAGCTTGAATTGAATTCAATTGAATCCAGTTGAACGGAATGGAAATACTTATTTGGGATCTCAGTCTTCAGAACCATAAAAAGTTAGGTTTTTCAAGTACTTTGGACAATTTATACCTCCTATATATCCAGCTATTGGATAAAACTGTTTTTCTTTTATTCAACTGAATACAGTGTATACTAACAATATCTTAGAGACTGCATTTTGATCATCCCCAAGCTACACTGATGGTCTGTTTTGTGTCTGAGCCAATTATTCTAACAGGCATTAGCTGTTGTCAACAAATTTTATTGAGTTTCCTTTTTGTCCCCTGAGATCTAATGTCTGTAGAAGTCAGCTCTAAGCATTTACAGTCTTTGAGATACTTTTTAGAGGACAGCAGTCTTCCCCACATCTATCCCCTGTCAATTGACTCTTATCATTGTTTTTACCCTTATTTTCAAAGTTTTGTTGTGGCTGTGCTTTTTATTTTAAATTGCTTCCAATCCACTTTGAAAGTATAGTTTTGTTGTTGTTGTTTCATAGTGGAAGGCAGTTTCTGATCTTAGCTTGAAATTCAAACATCTAAAAGAAAATTGCCTCCATATTTATCTTTTTGGTTGGGCCAGAATGTTTAACAAGGGAAATTTTTTTAACCTATTAGAAAAGAACAGTTCTGAATACAAAATAATAATAATAATAATAATGTTTACTTTGTATAGACTAACCCAGTGTGTGAATGAGCTCATCTTTCTCTACAAGCACAAGTTCCACTACAGCACAGTGGAAGCAATGGAAGCAACCTTCTAGATCTGTTTTGTGAATATTTTCCCAGCATAAGTGGAACAGTTCCTCTATAATTAATACAGCTTCCCCAGACATTTTATGAAATGAAAGTTCCAATGAACAGCTAATTACTAATTCTTCCCTATTTATCATAGTAAGAGAAGGTATCAGCCAGTCTTGTGCTCTCACCATCCTGTGAGAAAAATGGTAGCATAATGAAGTGGCACATTGGGAAAGAGCTAGCTATTATCTCACCAGATTGATGGAGCCCTCATAGAGGAGGGCTTGTTATAACCTCATTTTGCATGAAACATAGCAAGAGGAAAAGAGCTTCAACCGAAATAGAAGAAGTTAAGCTTGCCATAGATATAACTTTTTGACAGTCATGGTGATTAACCATTTTAACATGTACTTTAAAAAGGGGCTTGTGGAATTTCTCTCTTTGGAGATACTTAAAAAATTGACAGACAACCATTTTGGATGGTTTCAATTAAGAGCAACCAAAAGAAAGCAAGTTTCTGGGGTCCTTTTTAGTTTTAAGAGTCTATAAACAGTCCCTTAAATAAACTGTATATGCTTTACCTCGGCAGTCTGGGAAAAAGGAGAAGTAAATCAATTAGAAAAGAAAAGTTGGATACCCTTTCGGCTATTCCAGATTTATAGCTTTTGTAAAACATACTTCCAATGCATAGTTATTAAGAACAGGTCTGAATAAACTAAAGGCATTCTTCATGCATTAAAACAAACTGCTTTAAGTGAAACTTGCAATGAACTTCAGTGTTATTGATTGCAACAACCTTCCTAGATCTAGGTATTATTATTAGCTCAGGCTTCTTTCATTTGAAATATAGTGCTCAGAACTGCTCCCAGACCTGTCATTCATTAGCTGTATGACTTTGGCAGGCATTTAAACTTCCTGGGTCAAAATGTCCTTCTCTATGAAACAAGAGGATTTTGTTAAAGTAAATGACCTATTCTAACTTTAACAGACTCATAGTCCAGATTGTAATTATCAAGGATTTGGTGCTATTCAAGAAAGGAGAACCTTAGATTTAAGTAGTGGCCAAAGAACATTTAGTGTCCTTTATCTTCCT